TACATGAGTCAGAAGAAAATGGCAGATTTCCAACACATATGAACTCAGCCAACATTAGTCTACTATTAAAACCAGACAAAGACCCAGTACTACCTACCAGTTATCGCCCCATCTCTCTTATTAATGTAGATGTTAAAATAATTAGTAAAGTCCTCTCTAAAAGATTAGAGAAAATAATTCCTCTCATTATTCATCCTGACCAAACTGGATTCATAAAAGGAAGACACTCGACCACAAACACACGCAGATTATATAATTTAATAGAGTATTCATATAGTAAAAATATTGAAACAGCTATTTTGTCTTTGGACGCAGAAAAAGCATTTGATAGGGTAAACTGGAAATTTTTATTTTCTACATTGAGTAAATTTGGTTTTGGGGACCATTTCATTAATTGGTTAAAAATATTATATAACTCACCAAGAGCATGTGTCAGGACAAATAATCAAATATCTTCAAGCTTCTGTTTACAGAGGGGGACCAGGCAGGGATGTCCACTTTCACCTGCACTATTTGCTATTTTTATTGAACCTTTAGCAACAGCAATAAGACAAACTGCTGATATTAAAGGTATACTGTGTAAAAATATAGAACATAAAATTAGTCTTTATGCTGACGATGTTTTACTTTTTCTTCAGAACACAGAAAATTCAATATCCAATGTTATCGAATTAATAAACTCATTCTCAAAAGTTTCTGATTATTCTATAAATTGGTCAAAATCTACAGCTCTTCCAATAAACTGCGTGTTTAATACTTCTCTCAATGAACGACTACAATCAGGTAACATCACATACTTGGGCATTAATATTTCTCCTAGATTGGAAGACTTAATAAGATTGAATCATATCCCAATTTTAAAGAACATTGAAGATGATCTTACTAGATGGAAATCTTTGCCCATATCACTTATGGGAAGAGTTGCCTCAGTAAAAATGATGGTCCTGCCGAGAATAAACTATTTATTCTCAATGATTCCAAATAAACCTTCAACTGAATGGTTTAAGTCACTGGACTCTTTGATATCTAAATTCCTTTGGAAAAACAAAACTCCACGTATTAGCTTAAAAGCATTACAGAAATCCAAAGATACCGGAGGATT